GCGGAAGGATTGCCGGAGCCCAGCAGGTCGAGGCTGCGGTGGCTGGGAGTGTGCCACTGCCCTCCAGCCTGGGTGACAAAGTGAGACTCCAATACAAAAATAAATAAATAAAAAAAATAAATATGTACTTAAGTCAATAATGTACAAACGTTCTAAAAATGTGATGTTCCTGGCCAAGGACCAGATGCACAGTAGGTGCTCTATTAAATCAGAATCTTACAGCAATCTTCCTAAGTCAGAAGGTCTTAAATTTAGAGGACGGGGTTGTGGGGTGAAGTGTAAGAGGCTGGGAGCTTTTCCGCAATGGGGAACTGTGTGTACTTGGCGAGGGGCGGGGTCGGGAGGGTAGGGGGAGGCTGCATGCTTTCGTTCAGACTTGGTCATTAAAGGTAACTCTGGAAACCAAGTGTGTTGGGAGTGGTGGTTTTGTTTAATAAAAACGGAAAAACAGAACGAGCAGAGCCTCCCTCTCTGCCATCCCCTGAGGCCTCTCCTGTGGTTCCAGAGCTCTGCCAGGGAAGTAGGGGTAGGACAAGGGTGCCTGGCCTGTGGGCTTAGGGTGGGGGGAGGTGCTGTGGGATTGTGTGGGTGGTTGTTGTAGCAACAGGCAGGCTGGGTGGGCCTAAGAGAGCACTCCAAGGCTGTGAGTCATGGGGGAAACCTGGCTTGGGATGGAGGGGAAAAGCCAGCCGTGGTATTCCCTCCAGAGCCAGCCTGATAGACGTCGGCCATGTTTCTTCCCCTTTTCCCTGACCTTCCCTCCAAAAGGCAGCTCCTCTGGTGTAAGCCATCACTCCAGGGGAAGCCTACCATAAATAGCCCCCAGGTACTTTTCTGGTCAGGGGAGCTGCTCCCAAGTCCAGGAACAAGCCCCTGCTCCCTGGGATTATTCCCTGATGTCCTAGTGGGAGACCCTTCATCGGCCACCAGGAAGACGGGATTGGCTACAAAAAGTCTGCAGCTCTCTCCCTGCCCATTCACTCCCAGGATCAGTTGGCAACGACCTTTATCTAGGAAGCCAGAAGCCAGGAAAACCAGCTAGCTCAGCCTTTAAGGGAAGAGGTGGAGCGGGGAGAGGGGAAGGGAGAATGGGGGATGCCGGGCATGGGCAGGGAGACAATGTGGATTTGTTTTTCAGCAGTTGGGGCTGTTTCCTGACTATTCCCTGCCTGCCACTCTTAATCCCTCCCTAGCCTATTTACATTGTGTGAGTTTAAGGGAAAGTTGGGGCTCCCCTTCACCCTTCGATGGGGCATGGGTTGGGTTTTTAGCCAGGGAGGTTGTGAAGGAGAGATCAGAATGGACATGTTTTTGATACTGGTGCTCCAGGTGAATTCTGGGTGGATATGGATGAAGACGCAGTGGAGAGGTTAGATCCTTAAGAGTCCTTTCATGATGTGAAATCTCAATGGTGTGCACTCCAGTAGCCGGCAGGGAGATTGTGACTACAGGACACCCAGAGGGTATGACTGGGAATGAGAGGTTGGGACCCCGTCACACCCAGACCAAGAAAACACCCTTCAAGGTCTTGGAGAATGATAAGAGGCAGAAGGCTGGACCACCCGTGGCAGGTGAAGACTACAAGTCCCAGCATGCTCTGTGCCCAGGTCACCTTGCCTGCTGGGAGGTGTAGTTGGGTAAAGAGAGCTGGGGGTGGCCTGGTGCCCAGCAGAGCAGGCGCCCAGTTGGGAAAGGTGGGGCCAGCATTCCCTCTTTGTCCCTGCTAATGCTATTGACAGGGAGGGAAGGAAGTTGGGAGAGGGTGTTCCAAGTTTTCAGTGTAAACCAGGAAACTCTGGGGGGATGGGAAGTATAGAGGAAAGAGGTTGGGGGCTGAGGAAGGAATTTCTGTAGCAGGTGGTGTGTGTGTGTGTGTGTGTGTGTCTGTGTCTGTCTAAGAGGGATGGTTAGTGTTTCCTCATTTTCTCAGGAGATGGGATTTTCTTACAATTCTGGGAAACGATTTTCAAAAAACCCTTTAGAGAAAACGACTGTCTTACTCCTTTGTTGCAAGTCCCTGAAGAGAGTCTGGGCCAAAGGGGAGATCCTGTTTATGTGCTGGGCTGGGTTGTGTGTTCTCTTTCAGTGTCAGCCCCTGCTACCTGGGGGGGAGGGGAGAGGCTGTGCAGTGTGCGTGCCCTTGGGGAGTGGGGAGGGAGTGGGGGAGGTTGGGGGAGGGGTATCCTGAGAGTCTGAAATGTGGGCCAGATCTTGGGAATCTTCCTGGATTGGAAAGCAGTGCTGGCCTCCAGGTCCTCCAAGGGGAAGAGGAAAGAGCTCCGGGACCACGGGGACTCTGGGACCACCATTCTGCTCCTGGCCCTTTGAGCTCAGGACGGGACCAAAAAGCAAGAACTGAAAAGTAATCCCTCCCTTCCATTCCAAGGTAGGGAAGTCAGAACCAGAAGAAATGTCCAAACTGGGGAGAAAACATGTCCCTGGCGTCCAACCCGCTTCTTCCTCTTTCCAACATCAATTTCTACAGGGGGTGGGGGGTGGCCACTAGTGCAGACAACAGTAAGAGGAGATCAAGGAAGGTGGAGGAGGGGCAGGGACCACAGTTTCCCTTCCCTAAGGATCGTTCTGAAATGGCTTGAGTCTGGGAGACGCAGTCCCTTTAATTTACTTTGAAGCCACCCTCGTTGGGTGGGGGCCACGTGAGACTGGCTGTGATCTCAAGCCCCTACTCCCACTCTTCAAGCTCTCCTCACCCTTGCTTTTCGGCCTGGCTCGGGAGGCGGGTGTCTTGGGGCACCAGAGGGCGCTCTGGTCATTCCACACAGTTAAGCTATGTCTCCAGCGGCCGCGGTGGTTTC